TATGCCACATACACACATATGCCACATACACACATATACCACATACACACATATACCACATACACACATACACACATATACCACATACACACATATACCATACATAATACTGGAAACCCAACAGCTTCCCAAAACCTTCACTCCCCTTCCAACATGTGAGACATTCTGATATTTTCTTTGTTCTTTAAATTTTCTTTCCTGTCGTGAAACTGATAGCGTAGTGGTTATGTATTGGGCTGCGAACTGCAAGGTCAGCAGTTTGAAACTACCAGCTGTTCCACAGAAGGAAGATGAGGCTTTCTGTTCCGGTAAAGATTTACAGCCTCGGAATCCTTGTACAGGGTCACTATGAGTTGGAACCAACTCCACGGCACATAACCACCACAACCAGGGAGGTTGCTACGAGTCAGAACAGACTTGATGGCACTTGGCAACAAGTGTGGTGTTAATACAACTGTGAGGCCAACGCAGGATCAGGTATAAGGTCGCTGAGTTGGAACCCACTGGATGGCACCTAACAACAGAGGTAGGGTGTGCCCTGATGTCACACCAACTCCGATGCAGTCTGTGTGACATGTTCACCAGATGGAGGCAGAAGCTTCAAGGAAGTGTGTCTCTCGGATTGGAGTGTGCCCCCAGCGTGACCACTCTTGGCTGTTCATGTTTGCTATTCTTTCTTCTCGTTCTGGGAATAAGTCTCATTGTACTATTTGAAGGTCATGTTCCTTTGAGTCCATTTGTTGATAGAACATTAGATACTTCGGAAATCAAACATGAAAATAACAAAGAGCAAGTTGAACAGGAGGCGTCACACTGGCCACCTGTATTGCAGGCATTTGCAAAAATACCTTTTAAACTTATTTACCCCCCAGAGTAGAGGGTCTAGTGGGAATTAACACAATTACACAAATTCCTGCTCCACACAGACTCCCATCCACACAGTTAAGACTAAGAAAGGTTTTGCTTTCGTGCTCACGGGTGGACGTTTGTGGCAACCCCCTAATTCCTGAGCCTACCCCTGAGCCATTGTCTTGTACTGGAAAGTACGACGAGTTTGGCAATCGGTGGATAATTGAAAACAGGAAAAGAGTTTCTTGGGTTACATTGTCTTTCTTAAAAAGATTACAGAGAAGTAGTAAAAGGTGGTGTTTGCTGACGCAAGAAGAGAAAGATGATTTAATTAAACAACTAAGCATTATGAAACTATTCCTAGACAGACATTGGAAAGCACTAGGAGAAATCCCGTAGAGTTATTTAAAAAGCATACATGAAATTGATAAGGATATCTTTTAGAGATTAAAAGCTAGAAATTATTAATATTACAATCCCTGAGAAAGTTCTCACCTTGATCATGTTACAGAATTAAAGGATCACTGAAGCATGTTCTTAGAATTCTCTGGTAAACCAGGAAACCATTGTCTGCCAAGTTCTATTGTTTATTAACCTGAAAACTTGCTATGTTTTAGAAGATGACGTAACCTAGGCTATTCTACTTTCTGGATCTTTTTTGGCCATCTGGCGTTGGCGTAAATTAAAAAAGGTATAAAAATTGTAAGTAGAATAGAATTCACCAGAGCAAGAATAAAATGCACACTTTGTAAATCAAGCCTTGGTGTCTCATTCATCACCGAACCTCTACCCACTCGCGGTTCTAGTTTCGAAGACCCTCGTCCCCAGGCTAAAGCCCTCCGGCTTAGCAGTCTGCGGCACCCTGACCCATCTGTCCGTCAGCCATATTGGGGTGGTCTGCGTATTCCTGTAACGCTAAGAGCTACAGCATCATCTGCATTTTAAACACCATGGCGGACAGATTTTCAGCAGAGCTTCCAGACTAAGCCAGATTGGAAGCAAAGACTACATTTCTTCAGCCCTACTTCTGAAAATCAAAATCAGCCAGTGAAACCCGCCTGGACCACAAGAGAATATTGTCCTGAAGAATGAGTCCCCTAAATTAGAACTCTCGAAATTGACAGTGGCTGAGACAATGTACTCAAATATGCCAATCACGAAGATGGTACAAGACCAGACACCGTGTTGCTAAGTTGTCCACAGGGTTGCCACGAATCAGTGCTAGGAACTGCTCTTAAGTGAGGGGAGATCATCGTCAACATTGGAAGGATAGAAGATGAAAACAATGAATCAGGATACAAAGCAGACCTGGTATTTCCCCGACTGATTTCTTTGACTGCATTCATGTCCTCATGTTGCCACCTTTGGTCCGTTACTTCTAAAACAGGCATGCCTTATCCTTGGCTCCCTAGTAAACAGAGCCTGAGGCAAAACCTACATGCAATGATTTACTTGAAGGTGGGGGTCCCTGGGAAGCAGGAGTGAGGGTAAAAAGGAAACAAAGCAGGAAATTAAGTGGCTTCCAGTTTCTCTGGACTAATAGTAACCCTAGAGAAATAGTAGAACCATTGCCACAGGGTTTCCTAGACTGTTATCTAATAGGAGCAGGTCATCCTCAGAGCTGCGGGATGGGCTTGAACTGGCAACCTTTTGGCACCTGAGAACGTCACAAGGCAGGAAGGCAAAGATTGAATGATCTGGGTTACACAGCTGACATGGCTTGTAAAGAGAACACGTTTGTGCAGACACGTGAAACATCTCCAGGAATGCTGTAGAGAATCACTAACATTCCAGAAGGGCCAATCCAGAAGGAAGGATAAGGGATTTATTTGTTGGGGCTTCCTGAGTTAAAACTTGTCTTGAGGGCTGTGTAACCCCGCCCTTCAGGCAGCCAGTGTGGACTCGAGAGTCTCTTTGGGACCAGACAGGTCAGAGCTGAGTAGCTGGAGTGACCATACCCCATGATGTGTCCTTGATGATGCCTGACCCTTGTTCCAGTGAAAATGTCCATCAGCGGTCTGGAAGCGAGGACATGGGGGCTGAGGTGAGGACACAGCCACACGGATCTTGTGAAGCACATTCACTAAGTTCAGGACGCCCTTTAAATATGCACATCCAATCTTTCATTTCTGGATCGTTTTCCTGAATTTTATCTTTGAATATTTCTCTTGTTCCGTGATTGGGGTTGTTTTCTCCCAGGAATTCCAAACCATACGTATACTAGACGTCCTCTATCTTCTGATGGTTCATGATCACTCTAATCCTTATTATTAATCATTTCCCCGCACTACATTTTACAATTGCTCTCATTTCTTTCATCGCACGGCTCCTTAATGACTTTTAAGCACTGTTCATGCCCTTACACTATTTTATGATCATTTTCTACCTTTTTTTATCCTTTTCTAACAGGCTCCAGCTCACTTTTTAAAAATCTTTTCCTTTGTTTTGCCAATCTTCCCTAATCTAATGAATTTCGTTCAGATTCACAATAAAGCGTTTGCTCAGTTTTCATCTGCTACATAACACAGAGACAGGTGTTTTTGCCCATCTGTGTTCCCCTTTTCTACTAAATTATCTTTGTGGGGATGCTACACACTCTCCAGTTTAGCTACTCACACTTAAAGGCAGTGAGTTTTTCCATATGGGGTCTATTCATCCAGGAAAAACAAGTCTCTAGGATGGCGCAATCCATTGGAAGTCGGGGTTTGCATCTTGGGTCACTGGCTTTCTGCTGCTTCCTACAAGGGGTGATGCAGCAGATCCGGAGGATGAGCATTGGACTTCTAACCACAAGGTTGGTGGTTTGAGTCCACCAGCCAGTCCAAGGGAGAGAACACTGTGTGCACACCCTCCTGGTGGAGGAAGTTTACTAATACCAGAGCTCTGTGTGCACGCTCTCCTGGGTGACTATGTATACTCTGTAATACCAGAACTGTGTGTGCACTCTCTCCTGGTTGTCTTATA